AGTACAGAAAATGCTAGACACTAGAGAAAGCAAGAATCAGGTACTAAAACAACAACTTCAGAAGACTCAAGGAAGGATGAAGCTTTATGCGAATACAAAATGGACAGACAAAGATCTAAAGGTCGGGGACATAATTTACCTGAAGTTCCAGTCTTACCATCAAACCTCACACTTGCTCTTCGAAAGGGATTAAAGCTGGCAGCGAGGTTCTATGATCCCTACACCGTTTTACAATGCATGGGGTTAGTAGCGTATAAATTATTACCAGAGTCCTCGAGGGTGCAACCTGTAACTCATACCAGTTTGTCGAAGAAAAAATTAGGAGATCAAAGCGTTATCTCATTGGATCCTCATCCTTCCCAGTTTGGACAGGAAGGAAAGTTGAAGGTCCACCCGACTATGGTGCTCGACAAACATATGGAGAAGAAGCACAATCATGTGCAATGGACGAACTTAAGGCTGGAAAACGTCGCTAGGGTAAACTATATTGTGCCTAAAGCACAATTCCTAGTTTTTGATCCTTGGGGACAAGGATCCTTTCATGGAGGGGGTATTGTCATGAGTAGTAGAATTATAGAAACAGTCGGAGAAGGCGGGGGAGAATTGGGGGAATTGAAAGTAGGGTTAGGGATTTCAATTGAGAAAATTAGGGTAATTGGGAATACAAAATTAGAAGGGCTTAGTCACTTACCTGATGGACCAAATCAGGGGAAGGAGTCATGCCAGCAGCACCTGCTGGAGAAAGAATTTTGTTAGACAGCTGTATTACCAGCTGGTAAATTGGTTAGAATTGGTACAATGTTAACAAATAAAACGTGTATTGATCCAAGAGGAAATCATCAGAAAATTGAATGAAATTATTCTCTTCTTCAAGCTCTCTTTCTTCTTTTAATCACTATTTCTATTTCTTCGATTATCGTTCTTCTCCGATTCTATTGGGTCATAACAGAAACTTTATCCTGAATCTAATTTTTTTTATAGAGTGCCATTATTGCCTCTTTTTTCATTCCTTAAAATGTTTCCTCTTCCAATATACCAACACTAGAGGCCATTGTATGCTTTTCTAGTTTATGCATTATTTGGGCTGTTAACAATAATCTTATATTCCATTCTTATTCCTTTAGATGGTGCTACTTTGAATTGAATGACATCAACTAGGAACTCTCAATCTCCACTATGAGTAGAATTTATTTATTTATTTATACATGCATTGTATTTTATCTTTATTTTTAATTTTCTGACTGTCGGAAGTCTTCCACAGAAGCTGCTCTCAACCTGGCGTTAGGGGCAGCCTACTACCCTACCTTCCCCTTACCCCATTGCATATGGGAATAGGGTTTTGTTGTTGTTGTTGTTGTTGTTGTCTCTATGCTAATACTATGTTCAGCATGACATTCTTTCATGACTTGATTTTCCATTCCTGCAGGTTCTAGCGAGCAATATGATTTTCCTTGGTGTAGTAATTTTTGTGCCTTTCTCTATAGGCCGCATTATTCTCTATTACTTATCTTGGCTTTTCTCCTCTGCAAGTGGTCCGGTGCTATCAGTAGTGATGCCACTGACAGATACTGCCCTTTCCTTGGCAAACATCACATTGAAGAACACATTAACTGTTGTTACAAATTTGACATCTGTAGGCCAAGGCCAGGTTGTAGAAATGTTGAAAGCAAACTCTACTGGAGTCGCTGAAGTTTCAAGCAACACAAGTGCACCATTTTCAGCAGATCTCTTGAAAGGAGTAACTATTGGATCATCAAGGCTTTCTGATGTTACAACTCTTTCTATTGGGTACATGTTTATATTCTCCTTAGTCTTCTTCTATCTAGGTATTGTCACTTTGATTAGGTACACTAGGGGTGAGCCTTTGACAATGGGGAGATTCTATGGGATTGCCTCAATAGCCGATACAATACAATCCCTCTTCAGGCAGTTCTTGGCGGCAATGAGGCATTTGATGACAATGATTAAGGTTGCTTTCCTGCTTGTAATTGAGCTTGGGGTGTTCCCTTTGATGTGTGGATGGTGGCTAGATGTATGTACAATGAGGATGTTTGGAAAATCAATGTCTCAAAGAGTTCAGTTCTTCTCAGTCTCACCTTTAGCAAGCTCATTGATTCATTGGGTTGTAGGAATTGTATACATGCTACAAATAAGCATCTTTGTCAGCCTTCTTCGAGGGGTAATGTTCTTTTCCATCCTATGTTATTAAGCGTTAATTTGGAACCTGTTATCATATTGTAGGATGAGTTGATACTATCATATTTGTTACGGCTCAGGTTTTACGCAATGGGGTTCTATACTTCCTTCGAGACCCAGCTGATCCAAACTACAATCCCTTCCGTGATTTAATTGATGATCCTGTACACAAGCACGCTCGGAGGGTCATGTTATCAGTTGCAGTTTATGGGAGTTTGATTGTGATGCTGGTATTTTTGCCTGTCAAGCTTGCTATGAGGATGGCACCCTCTATTTTCCCACTCGATATATCGTAAGATTGGTTCATACTGTTTCTTATTGCTTCACTTGTTTATACTTATTGTTAGCTCACAATTAAATGATCTGTTTATTGCAGGGTTTCAGACCCATTTACCGAGATTCCGGCTGACATGCTTCTCTTTCAAATATGCATTCCTTTTGCCGTTGAGCATTTTAAATTGCGGATGACGATCAAGTCTCTTCTGCGCCATTGGTTTACTGCAGTTGGCTGGGCATTAGGCTTAACTGACTTCTTACTTCCCAGACCAGAGGAGAATGGTGCCCAGGAAAACACCAATGTGGAACCGGGACATCAGGATAGACTACAGATTGTGCAACTAGGTGGACAGGAACAGGCCATGGTTGCATTTGCAGCTCCTGATTATCCAAATAGAGGTCTCGCATCAGGGAACACTAATGCTGTGGAGGAGTTTGATGGAGATGAACAAACCGATTCAGAGTAAGTTATATGGTGCTTTTGATTGATTATATTACTTGACGCGTCTGGTATAATTGTTGTTCATATTTCGTTTTTCTTCATTTTGTTTGATTGTTTGTATACTTGCTTGCACTGCTGCTCTAAGATTCTACATTTGTAATCAGAATTTTTATAGGTTTTACTTATAATATTAACATTAAAAAGATCATCGAATTTGCACTTGCAAGTTATTTTTACTTTGTTTAGATTTTAACCACTTATGTTTTGATGCATTACAACAATATGAAGTTTTACCATTTTCTGGGATGAGGATTCAAATTATTCTTTTATATCTGATTCATCCAAATGGAGTTTTTTCAAAGTAGTTACATGTTAGTATTGAATCCTGAAATGAAGATGGGATAGTCTGGGCCTGTCAATCTACAAATTTTTATCTGTTAGTTCTTTTTTCATTTAGGATGGGGGATTATGGTTAATGGGTGCTGCTTTTTCCCTCTTCATCTTCTCTTGCTACATTTTGTTAGTCTAATATCTTTGTTTGTAGTTGGCTCTCTAATTTTTATCGATGAATTCTTTAGCAAGTACAGTTTTGTTCTTCGCATTGTCCTGTTGCTGGTCATCGCTTGGATCACTTTGCTTGTATTCAACTCTGCTTTGGTAGTAGTACCGATATCACTTGGCCGTACCCTATTCAATGCGATTCCTCTTCTCCCAATAACTCACGGCATTAAGTGCAATGGTAATGGAATTTGATTCTTATCCCTCCCCTCCCCACATAAAGTTATCTAATTATAATTTTAGTGCTAACTGGTTATTGTTTTGTTTTTCATTGTAGACCTTTATGCTTTTGTCATCGGAAGCTATTTCAATTGGACAGTCTTGGCTGGGGCTATATACTCCATCAAGCCCATAAGAACAAAGAGGGCTTCAGTTCTGTTAGGCCAAATCTGGAAGTGGGGTGTCATTGTCATCAAGAGCTCCTTGCTATTATCAATATGGGTATGTGATTGGGTTTCTACTTGTTTCCAAGTTCCCGATATCTAACTAATATCTTCATTGGTGCTGTAATGTCCAGATTTTTGTCATTCCTGTTCTTATTGGCCTGCTTTTTGATCTTTTGGTGATTGTGCCAATGCGGGTGCCTGTGGACGAGAGTCCGGTTTTCCTCCTTTATCAAGATTGGGCGTTGGGTCTCATTTTTCTTAAGATATGGACTAGAATTGTAAGTGTCGAACCACAATTGACTATTTAATACTACGAGGATGTTATTCCCTGACACGGCCAGAACTTGATTTCTTATATCCACAGGTTATGCTGGATCATATGATGCCGTTGGTAGATGAAAGCTGGCGAGTAAAATTCGAAAGGGTGAGAGAAGATGGCTTCTCCAGACTGCAGGGCCTTTGGGTGTTGCGGGAGATTGTGTTTCCTATCATAATGAAGTTGCTGACTGCATTGTTTTTACCTTACATAGTAGCCCGAGGGGTGTTTCCCGTGCTTGGATATCCATTAGTGGTTAACTCGGCTGTCTACCGCTTTGCATGGCCGGGATGCCTTTGCCTTAGCTTCTTGTGCTTTTGTGCTAAGAGATTTCATGTCTGGTTCACTAACCTCCACAACTCTATAAGGGACGACAGATACCTCATCGGTCGTCGACTTCATAACATAGGGGAAGAATTGGAACAAAAGCAAAGTGAGACAGGAGCGTCATCTGAAACACCACAGGGCAATGGAATAACCCAGCAGCCCGATCACGATGCTGATGTTGGGTTGAGATTGAGGCGTGTTAATTAAAACGAAGCCTTCATGCTCATATAATTGGCAAGATGGTAAACTCTGTTAGGTAGTTTGTATGAAACGTATCCAACAATGGAGATAACAGTTTGACTTGACAATTAGGGATTTGTCCTAATATTTCAGTTGCTTAGAAAGTAAACAAATTACCAGTTATTTTTACTTGAACTCAGATTTGTGATTGAACAACCACAAAGCAAATGTAAACAAGAACGGATTTAACTCGTAAAACTTCCTTCAAAAGCAATGAAAACCCATAAATCCTCAACAGCTAGAAGGCACACAATCAAAGTAAAGGGTTAATATGCATTCTGAGTCACAGCAAAAAAAAAAACCAATAAAACATGGGTGTTCGTAGTTTCAATGTTCCAAAAACACTGGAACAACAGAAGTGAATCCAAAACCAGCCAAGTCATCCTCTTAACCAAGCAAAGCTCATTTGTGAGCCCCAATAGAAGGCCACACTACAAACTCTAGAAGGCATTCAAAATCAAGGGACAAGGTTGTCATTTAATGATAGTGATGCCAGTTGATCAGCAGCACCACTGGCTAGCCGCTGCTGTTGAGCTACAGTCCTCAGAACTTCCATCGCTTCTGCTACTTTAGCTTTTAGAGCTTCCGGGGACTCTAGCAAGTGTAAAACTTCAGTCTGATCCATCTCCAGAAGCATCCCTGTTACTTTGGCCGCTGCATCGGGTTCCAGCTGCTCAACAAGTGGATAGAGATTCTCCCCCAGCATCTACACATTGATCCATGTAAGGCAATTTCAGTTTATTATTAATATACGGGGAAGTTCACATTTCTGTATTATGCCACAGTATAATCTATACTAATCCTTTTAACAAAAGCATAAAAGGGATTGTATTACGCCACAAATATAATCTACAGCACCAATATGCAGAAAGAGAAGGAACAAATAAAGAAAACAAAGCAGTACGTACTGTTCTTTGCTGATCCGGAGTAGCATTTGCAAGAGCTGAGGCCAAAGCTCCAATCGGAATTGGTTGCGAAAGTGGTGCATCACGCATTGGCATGCCACTCATATCGTATGGAACAGACATCATGCCTCCAGCAGCATGAGGCATTGAAACATCAGGCAGCCCACGACCTGGTGGATAGCGATAGACCCGCCCACGGGGTAGCATCTGCTATTTTAGTGAGCCATCAGATGAAGTGTTTATGGATACAAGGATTTGTATCAAAGATATTGTAAAATAAAAAAAGTGAAGGAACAAACCTGGTGCTGCATTAAAGGAGCTGGTTGCTGATTTTGCTGAGATCCAGCTCTTCTGCCGCCTGGACGCTGACCCTGCTGGCCTTGCTGAACCATTGGTACGAAGAAATTTGGCATGGGAGCCCCACCAGGCCTCATGCCTGGAACAAGCTGCTGCTGATATCCAAATCCGGGCTAACAGAATAAAAAGGCACAAACAAGATTGTGATTTTCTATAGCAGATATCACGGTATCATTAATTTATTAATTCAGTAGGTTAAAAAATACATTATATGACTAGAAACATTAAAGAAATAAAATGCATATATAATACCTGAGGAGGGAATATCGGAGGTGGTTGACCATAGAATATTTGTTGCCCAAGACCTGGACCTCCAGGTGGGTACATTGGCATTCGAGGTCCAACTGAATGTGCCATTGAAAGTGGTCTCATTTGAGAAAACTGAGCCTGTAAAAAGTGTGGCATATGCCCTTAGCATATGAAAGAATCAAAACCATCCTTTTGTGGCACTACAGTTTGGCCGAGACTCGAAGAAAATATCAAAATAACACACCTGCAACCTGGCTCTCCTATCTTCCTTCCTTTGAGCTTGCGCAACATAGAGAGGTTTGTTGACGATCATTTTGCCATTCATCTCAGCAAGCTGTTATAACCAGAATTAGATTATGTTATAGAATAAGATTACGGAAGCAGGTATACTTACAGCTTTAGATGCTTCTTCTGGAGTTGAAAAAGCAACAAACCCTGATCCTTTACTTATCCCATTAGGGTCTCGCATAACCTGTTACATTTAATAATAGGATCAGCCAACCGAGAATCGAACCCACTGAATTCTACTATTCTGAAAACAGGCTAACTAACCTTGCATGATGTTATGTTACCATATTGAGAGAATAACTCTTTAAGTTTCTCATCACTTATGCTATCATCCAAATTCTTAACATATAAGTTTGTTCCTTGAAATTTATCCGCTGCCTCTTTCATTGTCTGCTCAAATTGCTGTTTCAGTTCAGCCTCCCTTTCAGATTTTTTTTGAGCTTTCCCAACAAACCATTCCTTATCATCGAATTTCTTTCCATTTAGGGAATCAACAGCTCTAGCAGCGTCATCTGCATTCTCAAAGTTGATAAACCCGAAGCCCTTGGATTTCCTGTCAGCATCTCTCATCACCACGGCACTAGAGATTGGACCAAATTCACCAAAAATCTTATTCAAGTCTTCATCAGTAGTCGACTCCGAGATATTCTTTACATAGACATTGTTAAATTTTGTCTTGCTAGTATAAGTGTCTCTTTCTTGCTTGCGAACAAAAGGGCCAACATAGACTTGCTTATCATTCAATAGCATACCATTCAATTGGTCTATTGCTTTTTGGGCAGATTCCTCATTGTCAAATTGTACAAACCCATAACCTTTCGACTGGCCAGAGGGATCCATGGCTAACTTGCAAGAGAGAATGTTTCCAAATGCAGAAAACGTATCATGCAAAGCTTTTTGGTCGATTCCCTTATCTAAATTCTGCAAGAATCACCGAAAACAAACACAAAATAAACAATGCGAGATAAATGGAGCACAAGTTTATGAAACAAAGCAGCAAAAGAAACCCTCCGGCGGTTAAGTTTTATCACCTTGATAAATATATTTCCAGCACCACTTTGACGAAGACTAGGGTCACGGTTGGAATACATAATCCGGATAGGCTTTCCACTCAGAGGAGTGAAGTTCAGAAGCTCCACTGCCTTTGCAGCTGTAAGTAAACAAAATAAGATACCATCCAGAATAACTAAACAACTTTTTTGTGAAATCAGTGCAGAAGCAAAATACACTAAATATTTCTTTGAATTAAACACACACACACTAAATACATACTATTGTATCAGCCATTTCCAATTCAATCAAAACTGATAACTTTTTTCTTTGATTTCATAATTCATCGAAACTAAATGCAAATACTACTAAAAGCAATAATCTATTATTCAACAAAGGCAAATAAATCAAAGGAAAAAAAAAACTAAAACCATCAAATCTACAATGAACAAAATCATTTGGAAGAAACTAAAACTGAGAAAACAGATGGTTTTACCATCCTGGGGGTTGCCATAGTTGACATAACCATAACCAAGAGACCTTCGGGTGGGCAAATCCGTGCACAAGCGAACCGTAAGCAGCTGACCGACCTGGTTAAAGTACTCATAAAGCTGAGTCTCGGTAACACTTGGATCCAAATCCCCAACATACAGAGACGTTACAAACTGGTTACTGGCTCCCCCAGATCCATTGTTAACGCTCCCACTTTGCCCCTGAACTTGAACATGCGCCATCTCTCTAATCCTCTAAAGCCAGCAGCTAAAAAAACCCTTTTTTTCTCCAAGTTTTCTTCTTTTTTAGAGCTTTTTTATCTTCCTTCCCCTCTTTGTTATTAATCAAACAAAACCCGAAGAGCAATTAATAATAATAATAATAAAAATGATAGTGACGTGAAAATCCCAACCTTTCCTAAAGAACCAAACTTTCCTTTTCGAACTTGTTTTTCTTATTTTCAAAAAGGAGGAGAGGGAAGGGGAAGAAGAGGAAATGGATATTTACCCGCCGGCGTAGAGTGGGCGGCGGTGCGTGAGAATATGAGGTTTGAAGAAAGGAAAGGAGTAGCTGCGAAGGGCAACACAAGACCGAATTGAACATACAGAAAGTTATGTTTAAGTTTGGAGGTTTCTTTCGATAGTAAACCCTAAGTTGGGATCACAAGACGAGATCTCAGCCGTTGGATTTCCTAAGACAGATTTTTGATGGGGCCCACAAGTGGCGTGGCACATTTTCATTATATCAATTCGTCATAAAGCATGAAAATAGAAAATTAATCCGTAATTTAAAATTTTCATAACATATTTGATAAAAAATATAAATTAATTTTTTTATTAATTTAAGTAAGTACAAAATAATATATTTTATGAAAATCATAAATTTTTTAGACAAAACATTATCCTCATAACATATCATTAAGAATATTATATTATTTTATTTGATTAATTGGTTGGAACATATTTTAAAAAAATCATATTATAATAAATTATTATTATAATAGATTTTATTATTAACAAGTTTAACATTTATTAATAAATTGAAATGCAGTGAATAATAATCAGTTTATTTAAAGAAATGTGATACACGATTCTTTAAATAATAATTATAATCTTCATTTTAACATCGTATATGAGATAAATTTAATTGAGAAAATTACATTAATAATAAATATTTATAATTGATCAAAGTTATTTGATTAATAAATTAAATTAAGATGATTATAAAAAACAGTTAACATGTGTTGATATAAGGGTAATTACATAAATGGTCACTTTTGTTTTAGTTTTATAATTTTTTTTCTCATTGAATTCAAAAAACATAATATTTGGTTACATTCGGTTCTTTTTAATTAAGATGTGATCACTAAAGGATAAATACATAAAACTGTTAAACTTTTAACGGTTTGTTGACATGGTACGATAAATATATAAAATTAAAATTACATCATTTTCACGTAGATAATACGTGGATTAAGTTTTGATCACTTTCCTTTCATATTTGTACACTTCGTCAGAATGGTCCCTAAGCTTTTTAGGGCTAGGAGGGGATCGATCCAACTTAATTTTAAAAGATCGAGTTTTGAAAAACAAAATGATTGGGCATTGCCATCAACCTTTAGGTTAGGCAGGTTGAAAACCTAAAAACGTCTTTTAAAACAATTTTGAGAAAAATCATTTAAAAGACAACAATTCGTCTACGAATTACCAAAAATTCATTTTTAAGGATTCGAGAGTCGATTACACGTGAGGAAGGGTAAGCACCTTCACATCGCCCAAAATTAGTACCTCTCGATTATACGTTTTCTAAAATAGAGAAATATTACATATTTGAATCCAAAATTTAAATTACGATCCTTTTATTTCGATGAATTAATTTAAAAAAGAGTGATTTTTTTGTAAAATATTTGACTCTAGAAACCATTTGATTAACTCGATTTTATTTGAAAATGATATCCCTTTACTTCAAAATTCAACAGAAACTGTTATCCAATCATGTTGGACACAATTTCACTAACTCTCGATATAAAAGAACATTGCCTTTGATTTTATAAAAATAAGAAAAAGTACATGCACGATTAATGAAATGAAATTAATGGAACAACAAATAAAATGAAAATAATACATGAAATGCCAATAATATACAAATTTAAAGGGACTGAAATGAAATGAAACAAAAAGTAAGGCTTAAATTAAAGAAATGCAAAGATGTAAATGCTAAAATTTTAAAGGATTAAAATGTAAATGTTGGGAATTTAAAAAGTAGAAATTCAAATATAAAAAATTAAAGGGTTGAAATAAAAATAATAGAAAATAAATAATTTAATAAAAAATAAAAGTTAGTGGTTAATATTTAATAATTTTATCATGACCATAATAATACGAGTAATACCTCAGAACGGGTCGCTACAAGGTCGTATAATTTGAAAATCTTTAAAAGGTTAGTAGTTAGTATATTAAAAATTTAATGTTTTATCTGGACCATAATAATGTAAGTCATACCTAGGGTTGGGTTACTGCAAGGCCGCATCAGATGTTTGTAAGTAATAATTTAAAAATAGGGACCAAAATGCAATAAAAATAAAATACAGTAGCTAATACAAAATGAAACAAAACAGCATGAATGGTGATCAAATTAAAATAAACACAAAATAACATGTCGAATCAAAGTAAAAAAAAGAGCTCTTGGTGATCAATATGTAAAACATGCCTAACGGCAGAAGGCCTAAACGTGAATTTCCCTAAAACTTTGAGTATAAATCGCAACCCTTTTTTGTTTTGCTTTATTTCCCACACACATTTCGATCAAAAAAAATTATTTCCCTCACAAACCCTAAAAAAACTCTCTATATTTATCTATCTCACTCGACGAAGCCCCCCACACGGCCGAAACTTACAGACCCAATTAGCAAACGTCGGTCACCGTACGTCGGTGGTCATCCCTACCCTTGACCACCACTCCCGGTGATCGAAAAACCTAAAAATCAAACCTAAATGACTCAAATGCTTCCATCTTTTTCTCTAAACCCTAAATCGACACTTTGAAGACCAAAAGCTCCATCTAGTTCTTAAAATGAAACCTGGCTCTTCATATATTTATGTTTCTGCGACCCCTACCGATGACAGAACGAACCCTGTGAACCCCAAACAGTCTTAAAATTCTCTAATCTACTTCCTAGTACTCAGATCGAGACCTAAAGTGTCTAAACCCATATGAAAAACCGCATGGACAAAGGCCCCGTGTCCTTTCAACTCCCCATTGAGATCTCTCAACAAACATAGATCTTCTACTCAGGGAAAGCCACTAACCAAATACCTTTACTCTTTGTTTTACTTTCAAATTGGAAAAAGATTGAAAAAACGAATGGAAAAAATAAACATTCTGAAAAACTCTAACTTTCGTATTGTTTTTCTTTCGAATGGGAGAGAGTCTCCTTTTACAAATGATAGTTTTAGGGTTTTTCTATGACCCACTATTAGAAATCTAAAATAAAGAATGAAAATTACATTTCATTTTACTTTTTGTTGCACGTGACTTACTGGTGTAGATTTGTCGATTTGGGGTTTGCTGATAATCGACGAGGCAAGGAGGGCTTGAGTTGAGGCTGACTGGAATGTTGAACGTGGAGGCTCAGACGAATGGGGGGCCATGAGGGTTCACGCGCGGTTACTGGAGCTACTCACGTAGAACGGCTGTTGAAAGATCACTCTGTGATGTGGCTGGCGATGCTGGTCCATAGGATTAGGGTTACAAAACCCTAAATATAGTTTGGTTCAATCCGAGTCGTTAGATCAAAAGTCTAGATCTAATGGCTATAATGTTTTGGCGGAACCATGGTTACTATAAAACCCTAATTTTTATGGTCTGAAGGCACATGCTTCTAGCTGATGTGCCTTAATTGTTTGTGATATTGCTGATGGGTTGCTGTATATGTATGATTTTATTTAGGTTTGTAAATGGACTGTAAAGTGTTTGTAATTGGACATTTGAGATATTTTTTAATTTTATTTATTTTTGGGTAATTGGTGTTAATAAAGAAGGTTAAACATATTTGAGTCCTAAATTCCAACAGACACACACGGTCAACCAAATTGAATAATTCTAATTTAAGCAAAGGCACATCCGGATTAATTCGACATCATCACGTGAGAAGCTTATTAGTCTTTGATCACATTTGATCCGTTTTAAAATGTTTGAACAAATTTAGGGTACGAGATTTGTCTCTCTTTACTCATTGTTTTAAAAACAAGAATGTGACAAAGACAAATAATGACTTGATTTTGTTTGATTTAATTGTAATTTCACTTTTGGCGCGAGCATCTTTCTTTGATCTTGTATTGGTTTGTTCCTTCATCTTTCTATAACTAATTTGCCTCTTTGTATTTGGATATCTTCTTACTCGATTCCTTGACCCCACACATATTGGATCTGCAAAATACATAATTGTCATTTATTAGCACGTTGAGTGTTTATTTTTATCATCATCATTCATTTTTTTTTATTTTCTTTAGAAACGATGTTGTCTCATGTGAGATTAAAAACATTATTTTTTTATCTCAATGGAGATGTAATTCGGTTCTTTTAAAAGAAACGATTTCATGAAAATTTGAAAAATTGTTCTAAGTAAGGAAAATATATTGTTTAAAGAGAAACAATCTCAAGTCAGATAATTTTTGTTTTGAGTGAAACAATCTCGAGCGAAATAATTTTCAAATGATTTCAAATTTGTGTTTCAAAGGGAAACCGTCTCAAGTAAGATAAAATTTGTTTCAAGAAAAATTTCAAAGTGAGATGAAATTTGTTTTTAAGAGATTTTTTTATAAAAAATTTGTATTTCAAAGGAAACAATCTCAAGTAAGACGAAATTTGATTTAAGAAAAACAATCTCACGTGAGACGAAATTTGCTTTAAGAAAAACAATCTCAAGTGAGATGACATTTTTTTAAGAAAAACAATCTCAAGTGAGACAAAATTCATTTTAAGAAAAATAATCTCAAGTGAGACGAATTTTGTTTTCAAGAAAAAAAATCTCAAGTGAGATAAAATTTTGTTTCAAGTGAGACAATTTCAAAGTTTTTGTTTTAAGAGAAACAATCTCAAGTGAAACTAAATTTTCTTTTAAGTAAAAACAATCATAAGTAAGATAAAATTTCTTTTGGGTGAAATGATCATAAAGTCTAGGTTTCAAGGGAAATTATCTCGCGTGAGACGAAATCTATTCTTAAGAAAAACAATATCAAGTGAGACAAATTTTTTTTTGAGAAAAAAATCTCAGGCGAGATAAGATTTCTTTTGAGTGAAATGATTTTAAAGCTTGTGTTTCAAAGGAAACTGTCTTGAGTGAGATGAAATTTTGTTTTTATGAAATAATATCAAATGAGACTAAAATTTTATTTTGAGGGAAACAATCTCAAAATTTGACAAATGATTTGTTCTTTTGCTTGAAGACTTCAGATCTAAAGATGACATTGCACATTCTCTTTGAAGAAATCTAGTTGTCCTTGGATGATTTACTCCTTTGTTTAGGGATGTTAATTCTAAGGATTACAATGTTCCTTCATGTTGAGAACATCTGGTTGTCTTTAATTTTCTTATTTTCTGAAAGATATATAAAAATTATGCATTTATGAATGAACCTATCTTGAATGGCAAAGTTTATCTAATTTCTTCAATTTTTACCTAATTTTAAGAAAAAAAATGAGCTCTTGGATTTGTCCTCATGAGAGGAGAAAATGATCTTAAGAAAGAGAAATTCTAAAGCCATCATCATGAGAGGAGAATTAAAAGATTTTATGTTGTATGTAATGATGGATGTTTAATGTAAAGATGCAAAATAATGTATGTGCATGTCGAAGTATGTTTTCTTGATTAATGGTAATGAAAATATGCACAAGCAGTCTTGATTCTCTTTCTAATTTGTTCGTCTTCATTCTTTTCTCACACTAGATTGCACCTTTGTAATTCTTTGCATTAAATTGTTCTTCTTGCCCCCAATAATATTGCCCTTTTATTATTCGATTCCTTTATCCCATTTTCTTATTCTGAGCTTCTAAGTTTGAGAGACCTTTGTTAAATTTCTAAGATACCATTTTAGGGAAATTATCTTGTTTGAAAAGATTTTTTTTTCTTTTGAGAAGTTTGTTGAAGAAACAAAATAGTGCCTCCTTTAGGCCCATATTGAAGCAAATCCCAAAACATGAGTTCATTGAATATCAAAAGAATCAACTGCTTTTTTAATTTTCAAAGTTATAACACTTTTACAAGTGTCATGATTGATGAGTTGGTTTTAGGTTGACTTCTGTTGAGTCAATCAAATGGATGAAATAGCCAAGAGAGGGTGAATTAGCAATTAAAATTTTAGTGGAAGCTTGAGAGAAAAATATAAAATTGAACACAAGAATTTAGAGTGATTTGAATTTATCAACCAAAGTCTACATCCACTACCTTGACCATCCACACTAAGGATTTCCACAAATTTACTAATTTGTATCTACCTTTGAGGATAAGGTGTAACCTTACAAATCTCTCAAGAATTATACCTCACATTCTTGAGACACTCTCTCAAAGAGAAAATTACAAATTGTAAACTTATAAAATCCTCACTAGGAATGTGTTTGCACAATTTAAGAACACTTGAGAAATGAATACAAATGAGTACAAAAAGTGTTCTTTGAAAGAAAAAAGAATATTGAAGAATGTTGACTTGATTTGACTTAAATTTGTTGTTTTTGACTTTCTCTTTTGTCTTTTGTTTTCACAAATGACTTGGGATCTTGTTTTTATACTCCCTCAATTAATTCCTACTGTTTTAGTTGTTGTGGGAGAGAATAGAGATGTTGGGAGGTAGTTTCCTGCATTAAATGTCATCCAGAAGCTTGCAATATCGGTACTAGGTGTAATACCCCAAATATCAGGTCAGTGACTTTATTGAAAATATTTAAAATTTGAGGATTTATTTGATTAGATGATAAAAGATGAGAAATAATTTGGATTAGTGGTTTAGATTAAATTGTAACAATGGAGGATTGAAAGGGCATTTTGGTCCTTTGGAATGAAATGAATTTAAAACTCATTTTTTAATAGGGATTTAAGAAAAGGGAAAGTTAAAAACAAAATAGGTTAAGTTATTTACTTTCATTCTTCTTCTTCCCGTGACTTTGTTCTCTCCTCTATAGCCAAAGGTAAACTTCATCTAATTAGTTTTTCCTTTCGATTATGGTTTGTTTTTGCAACCTTAAGTGATATGTAAGCTTAAGGAAGGGTTAAATAAGATTAAAAATAGGAGATGGATGAAATATTTTAGATTTAAGAAAATGGGTTTTTGAATGATATGTTAGAACATGAGTTTTTATTGATGTTTATTAGTATATTTGACTTGTCAAAGAAGTAAATAAGAGATTAGAAGCATTGTATGGGATTAAAAACATGTTAGAAAAAGTGGTATGATTCTTAGATGGAAATGTTCTTGGGAGATTTTAGATGTCTTATGAAGCTAAATGAAGGAAAGTTAGTAAGGATAAGTAAGTAAGAGTTTAATAGTATTGTTGATGGTAAACATAAGGAAATTTGACCACAACTGGGTAAGAATCGGGCTGAAAAATGGAAAATATGGGTAAGGGTATCGGTACTGATGGAACAGTACCGATACTATAGGTTTAAATGAGTAGAAATATGATGAACAATACCGATACTAATGTAATTAGTATCGATACTGATGGGGTATCGATACCAAAAGGAAAGTATTGATACCATGGATTCCAGAATGCCGAAATGGCATCGATACTGAAAGGGAGTATTGGTACCATAGTATAGAAGTATCTGTACTAGGAAAAAAGTATCGATGCCATAGATCCAGAATGTAAAAATGGTATCGATACTGAAAGGGAGTATCGATACCAGAATATAGAAGTATTGCTACCATGGTAGGGGTACCGATACTATTGAGCCAATAATTTTAAGATGGGTTGAGATTGTTATAGAAAATTTATTAATAGTACTTTTGAGTATTGTTAAAGTATAAATGTTAGAGAATATACTAACAATTGGTATGGTATGTTTGTTTAATGGATGTCTGAGTAGATCGAAATCAAGCTTCGAGTCAAGCAAGAAAAAGGGGAATGACAAAGTTTCCAAGTAGTTGGACATCACTACTATATCAGGTGAGTGCATACATGGTAATTATATTGGTTGAGGGAGAATCACAATAAATTCAACTCAAATGTTTAAATTAATGTATGTTTTTCATTATATGATATATGTTTATAATGTGTGTGGAATTGATACTATGAATAATCTTTAGGGTATAAACCGTTTTAAAATAAAAGATTATTTGCCTAGTTGCGCATTTGACAGAAATGTGTCAATCATGTCAGTTAGATGAAAGGTTAAATACCTTTGAGTAAAAGATTAATTGCCTAGATGTGCATTTGATAGAAATGTGTCAATCATGTCAGTTAGATTAAAGGTTAAATACCTTTAAGTAAAAGATTAATTGCCTAGCTATGCATTTGGCAGAAAGGTGCCAATATTGCAAGTTAGATGAAAGGCCAAATGCCTTTGAGTAAAAGATTAGTTGCCTAGATGTGCATTTGGGAGAAATGTGCCAATATTGCAAGTTAGATGAAATGCTAAATGCCTTTGAGTAAAAGATTAATTGCCTAGCTGTGCATTTGGCAGAAAGGTACCAATATTGCAAGTTAGATGAAAGGCTAAATGCTTTGAGTAAAAGATTAATTGCCTAGCTGTGCATTTGGCAGAAATGTGCCAATATTGCAAGTTAGATGAAAGGCTAAATGCCTTTGAGTAAAAGATTAATTACCTAGCTGTACATTTGACAGAAAGGTGCTAATATTGCAAGTTAGATGAAAGGCTAAATGCCTTTGAGTAAAAGATTAAATGATTAACAATGTATTTTGACTTAAATGATGCCGTTTATTAATTTAATTAAAAGATCTTAAAGGGGGCTCACAAAGTAGATGAACTATCATGGTTTTGATAGTCAGGATATACTTATGAATAAAATTGTAGTTCCTTTACAAGATTATACATCACTAAGTAAATACTTAACATGTGTTGATTTCACGTTTAGGTAAAAATCAAAGATTTGTTGAGTAAGGAGTGCAGTAGCAACAACCATCATCAATTAAAGGTTAACTCATCAGTAACATTGGGATAATCATACTCATTTTAAAACTTAGCTGGCATGTTATAGACTTAAGAAAATATTTTGTAATGTATTTAAGGTGATAGTTTTAGTAATATGTTCCAATGAATATTTAATCATTTGTTAAATTGTGTGGTTTTAAAGTTTGAAACAAAAATTTTACGTGTTTTCAAATGAGTAAATGTTTTAAAAGTAATGTGACATCTGTATCTCGTGTACAAAAATGTGTACGGGATATGGGTGTTACATTTATTGGTATTAGAACTGTAGATTTAGCCGATTCTTGGCTGAAACCGAGTTAATTTGAAATAAGAAAAAATGATTACATGCCACTAAGATTGTCGAGGTTACTGATATGGTGTCATTAGAGTGTAATTGATGACACTCCTTACTAACTATAAAGTTATTACTATGCATGTTCTAATAGATGTTAGAATCCTCAAACTCGAGTAGAGTGGGGGAACAAGAGATGAGGGAAAGAACTGGTAGTGAAAGTTATGAGGCTAATAGTGAATAATCAGTTCCATTTGAAAATGCTAGTGCGCTTGCACAATAAGGGATGTCGATACCAGAGTTTAGAGCTTTTATGCAAGCTCTCGTCGCCATATTAACTCGTTTTCAACCTCCTTCGCCTCCCCCTGCTCCTCCAGTACCAACGATGTTGATCCCAAAGGAGCTGAAGAGTTTAAGAGCTCCTGAATCTTGTGGAGAAAAGGAGGAAGACCCTATGAAGGCTGATTTATGGCTGAATGATGTAATAATAATGCTTGAAAGTCTTCATTACTCAGATTCAGAGAAGTAGGGTGGAGTTGTATCATTGCTAAAGGGATTAGCTTGGGTGTGGTGGTCAATTACTACAATGTATGCACCACCAGAACATTGACCTGGTAGTTCTTCTGGGAAGAATTTAACAATAAGTATATTGGTGAGAAATTCAGACGAGCGATGCTGATGAAGTTTCTTAATTTGAAACAAGGCGATCGAGCAACACATGAGTACGAGGCTGAGTATAATAAGTTGACCCGTTTTGCTACTGAGGTGGTTCCCAATGACAAGGCCCGTCGTGATTGGTTTATTGAGGGGTTGAGGCTAAAGTTGAAAGAAATGATGTTGGCTTTGAGTTTGCCTAGCTTGCAAGAAGTTATAAACCAAGCCAAAGCTATCGAAATAGCTCAAGCAGAGACATTAGTAGCTGAACAGAGTTTACAGACGGGGAAAATGGTTGGAACGCCTTCAACTCCCCATTTTGTTAAGAGAGGCAAGGGCTCGAGTTCTAGATATACTGATAGAGATGGTTCAGCTGTAGCTTCATAGAAAACTAAACAGTCCAATCAGTTGCTGCTAGCTCGGGTAGAGCAGTTGAAGAAAGAAATAAATGTCAGACATGTGGTAGAAGGTATCGGGGATTATGCAGACATCTCAGTGGAGCTTGTTTTCAATGTGGCGAGACTGTGCACTTTACCCGAAACTGTCCAAAGAGATTTGGGGACCATTCAGTGCAATCTGAAAGATCTGTGGTAGCCTCTAATAGAAACAAAGGAAGAAGAAGATCAAGGGTCAAGCTGAATTAATACAGCGACAAGAGACTCGGGAGTCTCCATAATTTATAACATTAAGACTAATGAGGATCGAGATGACCCAGAGATCATAACAGGTACATTCCATCATTTTGATGAGCCTCTACTAGTTTTAGTTGACCCTGGTTCTACACATTCATACATTAGTACAAAATTGGTTAGAGCTAGAGGAATTCCTTTAGAACCAATCTTTAGTGAAATGATAGTGGTAAATCCTATGGGTCACAGTGCGAGAGTAGAGCGAGTATGTAGAAAATGCCCAATAAAAATCCAAGGGATTTTGTTTCTGGCAAACTTATTGGAGTTTCCTTTCGATGAGTTTGAAATCATTTTGGGTATGGATTGGTTGTCTCCATATTATGGATGGGACGATTGTTGTCAGAAGCGATTATTTCTAAAAGATTCAGAAGGCTCAAAAATTGTTGTGATCGGCGAAAAAGTGAAATCACTATCCTATGTGATATCAGCCATAACTATAAAGAAAATGATGTCAAAGGGGTGTATAGGTTTTTTAGCTAATGTAGTAGATACTCGAGTGCCAGAAATGAGATTAAATGATATTCCAACATTTAAGGAGTTTCCAAAGGTTTTTCCAGAAAAATTATCGGGTTTACCTCCAGATCGTGAAGTGGAATTCAAGATTGAGGTTTACCCAGGTACCGAACCTGTTGCTATGGCCTCATATCGAATGGCTACAACAGATTTAATAGAATTAAAAGCCCAATTGCAAGAGTTACTTGATAAGGGATTTATCAAACACAATGTATCTCATTGGGGAGCATCGATTCTATTTGTGAAAAAGAAGGATGAGTCTATGCAGTTATGTATTGACTTTCATCAGTTGAATAAAGTAACGATAAAGAATAGATATCCTTTCCGAGGATTGATGATCTGTTTGATCAACTGAAAGGTGCAACTGTGTTTTCTAAGATAGACCTGAGGTTTGGGTACCACCAATTAAAGGTTGAAAAAGAGGATATTTCCAAGATAGCTTTTCAGACTCGGTACAAATACTATGAGTTCGTGGTAATGCCATTTGGACTGAAAAATGGTCCTGCAACATTTATGGACTTGATGAACCGAGTATTCCAACCTTACTTGGATCAATTTGTGGTGGTGTTTATAGACGATATTTTGGTGTATTTTAAGTCAAGAGAGGAACATGATGATCATCTTCGGGTGGTTCTTCAGATACTTCGAGATAAGAAGTTGTATGCTAAATTGTCCAAGTGCGAATTTTGTGCGAATTTTGGTTATATAAGATTTCTTTCCTTGGTCATATAGTCTCCGTAGAAGGCATAAGAGTAGATCCTAAAATGATCCCAGCTACAGTGGATTGGCAATACCCAAATAATGTTTATGAGGTTAGAAGTTTCTTGGGGCTTGCTGATTATTATAGACGGTTCGTGAAGAACTTCTCAATGTTAGCTTTGTCACTAACTAATTTGTTGATGAAAGATGTGCCTTTTGTTTGGACGTAGAAATGCCAAGAAAGTTTTGAAATACTAAATAGAATAGTAACAGAGGCCCCAGTGCTAGTGCAACCTAAGTTAGGTAAAGATTATGTCATTTTTAGTGATGCATCCCATAATGGACTAAGATGTGTGCTAATGCAAGAAGGGAAAGTTGTGGCTTAAGCCACAATACAGCTGAAGAATCATGAGAGAAATTACCCGACACATGACTTGGAATTGGCAGCGATAGTGTTTACTTTGAAAATTTGGCGCCTAGGCCTGTAAACGAACTGAACGCACACGAACATAGGTATGTTCATGTTTGTTCATTTAATAAATAAATGAACATAAACGAACACGAACATAAACGAACAAATTTTTTTTGTTCATGTTCGTTCATTAAGGAATATAGCTTGTTCATGTTCGTTAATTTAATAAATAAACGAACATAAACGAACACGAACGAACGAACATAAACGAACACGAACGAACGAACATAAACGAACACAATAAACGAGAACATAAACGAACAACACAATAAAAAAAAACTTATTCGAACACAAAAAACGAATGTAAAAAAGTAAACAACAAGAATAACAACTTAAAATTCATTAATATAACCTGCAACTTTATAGTTAATTCGAATACAAAAAAACATACATAAATCATAAATAAACTATATGAACATAATAAAGTCTTAAAGTTAATTTGTTCAACAAAACAATCTTCTTGAAATCCAAACAACTTCAATAATCTTCATAACATTTTCAACTTGCCCTCTGTTTTAAACATAAATGAACGAACATAAACGAACATAAATGAATAAATATAAACGATCATATAATCAAGCGATCACGAACGTAAATGAACGAACGAACCCTTTTTTCATGTTCATTCATTTAATTAAACGAACGCAAAATCTTGTTTATGTTGGTTCATTTAATAAATAAATGAACATAAACAAACTTCCCGCCGCACGGTTCATGAACGGTTCACTAAACGTTCAGTTCATTTACAGGCCTATTGGCGCTATTATCTATACGGTGAGCATTGCCATGTTTACACTGATCACAAGAGTCTAAAGTACTTGTTAACTAAAAAAGAGCTGAATTTGTGAGAGAGAAGATGGATTGAGCTTTTAAAAGATTATGATTTGATTATTGATTATCATCCCATAAAGGCTAATGTGGTAGCGAATGTGCTCAGTTGAAAGACTTTTGCAGCTTTACGGGCTTTGGATGCGCATATGTCTCTAAAGGAATACGGTGCCTTGATTGCTGAACTTAAATTAAAGCTGATGCTTTTGGATCGGGTAAAAGAACTACAAGGTCAAGATGAGAATTGTTTAGCAAGAATGGCCCAAGTCAAAAGAGAAGAAACCAAAGACTTTGAAATGAAGGCTGATATATGTTTATATTATCGGGGAAGACTTTGCATTCCCGATAATGAGGAATTAAAGAAAGATATTCTTACCGAGGCACATTGTAGCCCTTTGACGATGCATATAGGCGGGAATAACATGTATCAAGATTTGAAGAGTTGTTATTGGTGGCATGGTATGAAAAAAGCTGTATCGGAGTTTGTTATAAAATGTTTGACACGCCAGCAAGTGAAAGCTGAATATAAAGTGCCTTCTGGATTTCTACAATCGATATTCATTCCTGAGTGGAAGCGGGAGTGAGTTATAATGGATTTTGTTTCGGGGTTACCTTTGACACCAGGTTAAAAGGACTCGATATGGGTAATTGTAGAATATTGACTAAAATGTCTCATTTTATTCCAGTTTGAGTAGATTACTCAATAGATAAGTATGTGGAGTTATATATAAAAGAGATAGTCAGACTGCATGGAATTCCTATATGAATAGTGTCCGATCGAGACCCAATGTTTACTTCAAGATTCTGAAAATCGTTGCATGAGGCATTGGGTACTCGATTGAACTTCAGTACAACCTTTCATTCGCAAAAAAATGACCAGTCTGAATGAACTGTACTGATATTGGAGGATACACTAAGGGCATGCGTAATTGAGTTTAAAGGATCATAGGAAAGGTATTTTCCTTTGGCTGAATTTTCTTATAACAACAATTACCAATAGAGTATTAAGATGGCCCCGTATGAAGCTTTGTAAGGGAGAAAATTTTAAACACCATTAAATTGGTTTGAAATTAAAGATCGAAATCTAGTTGGCCCGGATTTGATGAAAAAAATGAAGGAGAAAGTAAAAATTATTCAGGATAATCTGAAGATAGCCTCCGATCGACAGAAATCTTATGTCAAATTGAAAATAATAGAAATTGAATTTCAAGTGGGAGATAAGTTGTTTCTGAAAGTGTCGCATTGGAAGAAAGTATTGAGGTTTGGACGCAAAGGGAAGCTAAGTCTGAGATTTATTGGACCTTATGAGATATTGAAAAGGGTCGGACCAGTAGCATATCAATTAGCTTTGCCTCCGGATATGGATAAGATCCACAATGTTTCCACGTATCGATGCTTAGAAGGTATATATCAGATCCATCCCATGTCATTATGCTGGAAGAGATAGAAATCATACCAGATTTAACTTATGAGGAAGAACCGGTATGGATCTTGGCTAAGAAAAATAAGGAATTACGTAACAAAAGGATTATGTCAGTTAAAGTGCTTTGGCATAATCATAAGGTAGAAGAAGCTACTTGGGAAAGATAGGAGGACATAAGGAAGCAATTTCCATACCTATTCATT